GAGTTGGAGGTTGCTGTGAGCTGTGGTGCCACGGCACACTCTGCCCAGGGGGATAGCTTGAGGCTCTGTCTCAAAAAAAAAAAAAAAAAAAAAAAGATCAGCCTGGGCAAGATAGTGAAGAATTTGGACTCTCTTAAAACAGATTCCTTAGCACAGTGCCTGTGGCTCAAGTGGCTAAGGCGCCAGCCATATACACCTAAGGTGGTGGGTTTGAATCCAGCCCAGGCCACCAAACCAACAATGACAGCTGCAACCAAAAAATAGCCGGGCATTGTGGCAGGCACCTGTGGTCCTAGCTACCTGGGAGGCTGAAGCAGGAGACTTGCTTGAGCCCAAGAGTTGGAGGTTGCTGTGAGCTGTGATGCCACGGCACTCTACCCAGGGGGACAGGTTGAGGCTCTGTCTCAAAAAAAAAACCAAACAGATTCCTCCTCTTACATGCCTATCTCCACCCCTTTACCTTCCTGTCCCCTTTTCCTTTCCTTAGTGAGGGATGAGGGAAGCTTTTTCTCAAACAATAATGCGCTTGGGGTAGCTGAGGACAGCATTCTACAGCTTGCTATTTTCTCTAAGGGATTGGGATGAGAGGGGGTTTAGGGAGACTGTTTCTAATGCCCAGTGTCCTTTTTCATTCCTCAAATCTGTGTTCTCCATGCTCTCTCTTCAGGAAATGCCACAGACATAAATGACAATAGGTAAATCAGTTCCCATTACCCTTGGGTTCTCTGGGTGGGACCGGAAGAAATGATCAATGTCCCTGGGGCCTTCAGAGGAGGGAGGAGGAAGTGAGAGTTGTTCTTGCCGTCAGTGTGTTCTCCAGATCAGTCATTCCCCTACAGGAGTGCAGAATACCATCCCCTCCTCCAATCCCATTTGTGACTTCTCCCCACTCTAGTTATTAGGTCCCAGGGAAAATATCACAGACATCTGATAACCCAGGATTCTATCTTACCTTTGGGAACTTTGTGACCTTGGGCAAGTCACTTACATCCCTCTGGCCTTACATCTCCCTGTATGCCTGTAACATGAGTGGTCCTTGCCCTTCATTACCTCACAGGAATGTTGTCAGGAAGAAGTGATCATGGCAGGAATACTTTAATTTATAAGGTGCTGATTGTGGGGGGTCTCTTCCTACAGGAGTGATCTGCCATGCGGCTATGAGGCTGAGGACCAGGCCAAGCTTTTTCCTCTCCACCAAGAGACAGCAGCCAGCTAATGTCCCACACCAACTGCTCCGTTCCTGCACTTTCAGGTAGCTTCAGGCCGCCTCGTTGGACCAGCCTCAGGTTGCCTCTTTTCTTGCCCACAGCCTCTTTGGTTCTCCTTCTTTATTTTTTTTTAACCTCTCAAAGCTTTTGCTATATAGTTACCCTTCAATCCTGCTTTCCCCTGCTGAGGGCTAATTCTGGGCCGCTCATGAGATCCGGTCACTGACCTTTCCCTTGCCCCCTTATGCTTTCCCTGGGGCTACAGCAGCTACAGCAGTACTGCCTTTCTGCCACTAGGGGCCACTGCCACACGCCCGAGGAGGTGAGCACGGCCGCTGTAGATCTAGAGCCCTGAGCCAGGTCACAGACTGCGGGTGTTAGGGAGAACCTGGGAGACCCTCTCAACCCTCCCTCCACCTCCACCCTCAAGCAGTTTTGGGTGGATATCTATTTTTCTGAACTAAGACATCTCCAGTAATGGTGATGTTGATTTACTCCTGCACCTGTGTCCTATCCTTCTCATATATGTATATGCTACTAGTAAGCTTTAGGGAATGCCCATGAAGTCTTGGTGTCCCTTTAGCAGAAGTGTCAGCAGTCCTCTCCCATTTTGCTTGGTGGAGATGGAAAAATCTCCCCTTTTCGTCCTCTGTCCCCAGGTCCTCTCCTCTAGCAGCACAGGAACCTTCTTGCTTTAGGGCCCAGAACTGAGTGCTGGGATCCTGTTTTATTGTCCACTTTGAATCCTTGGAGAACTAGAAACAAGAGAACATGGCTGGGTTTCCCAGGAGAGGACGCCAGGCAGAAAAGCTTGAGCAGAGAAATGGAATGCAAAAGAGGACCTAGGGGAGGGTTGGGTAGAGGACCAGGCTTGGAGGGTCTGTTTGGTGGTATTAAAGGAACAGGACTGTAAGTGTATGCAGATGGCACCTGTTCCTGTTCAGAGACTGAGCTGCAAACTGGCTTCTCACATGCTTCTTCTCCTTCTTTCCTAGTTTCTAAGAGGGCCTGAGGCCTCTTCTTTCAGCATGCTGCAAACCTGTGGTCTCTGATACTAACTCCCTCCCCAGCCCCTGTTGTTGGACTGTACTACGTTTGATGTCTTCTCTTCCTTACTCTGTATCTCTTTGTACTCTGTAACTATATATCAAAAGCTGCTGCTATATCTCTCTTCCCTCTGTCTTACTATTAAGTATCTGATGATGTATTTAGCAAGTTCTAGGCATAGGTTACCCTCCTCATTTGGAGCAATAGGGAGGAGGGTGAATGTTTCTTTCTCTCTTATATATTCGTCTCTCACACTGAGTGGTGTTAGTCACTGCATAGAGGTTACAGAGATGACAAAAGAAAAAACAGGAGCTAGAGGGCTGTGTTCCTTCACACTCACACACACACACACACACACACACACACACAAAGCCTTAAGTGGAAGAATGTCTTAGCATCCTAAGGCAGAGAAATAGACTCTTCTTCCCTCCTGTTTCACACATAGCACAGGGACGGTAAGATGGAAGGGCTGCTAAATTAGACATATACTTTTCTGCATACACCCCTCACTTGAATGCAGGGATTCTAGGTATTTACCTCTGGCCTACAAAGTCTGCCTATTGCCTCCCTTTTCCTTTTTTCCCTTGGACTGAGAACATGGCTTGGTCAAGGGACCATTTGCCTTTCTCTTCAAAGCTCCTTTTGATGTTCTTTACCCTAGAGCTCATGACTAGAACCCAGAGTTGATTTAAAATATTTTGAAAAATTGAGGAGGTGGGCCTCTGCCAACAGTCTTTCAAATGACTGCTCATCTGTCCATGGTGATAGAGGCAAGTGTAATCAAAAGTGATTGATTTGGGGGGTTTGGGAGTTGATAGGCTGGAGAATTCCAAAGTATATTTTGTCACAGTGCCCTCAGGTTGAAGCAATGAGCTAGATTCCTTCCTCTGTCCCATATTGGGCTACATGTTCCTCCCTTTAGGGTTGGGGCTTCTAGTTCATTGACAAAATCTCTCTCTAGTTGCCTTCCTTTCAAGCTGGAGCCTGATATTTTTCTCCCAATATACAATTACATTCCCCCATGAAGAGTTCCTTCTCTAATGTCCCCATGTAGTATTAAGTGCACTTTAAAGAAAGGGGCAGGGCAGAAGCTCTAGTGGTGGGGGAGCCCAAAGGATCAAACTGGAGGGCTCTTTCCCAAGCCATTTTCAGCCCTATGTCCTCCTCCAAAGTTGAGAAGACTATTGCTTTAGTTTCCGATGATTCTTTCCTTCCACATGGTGCTAAGGTGGTTTTCGAGGTAACTGCAAGAATGGAGGTAACTAGTCCAAACTAAGAAAAAAAATCTGATATCCTGATATCTAGTATTATCTTGAATGGAAGATCAGGACCCTCCAGTAGCAGGGCAGCCAATCACCCAGCCTCTTCTAAGGCAGTGGGAGGGCCAGCTGGTCAATAGAGTCCTTCAAGAGAAGGAGGCCCTGTCCCCTTTATATGTTGGGCCCCTCTTAGCAGTTAAGGAGAAAGGTAGGGGGGAAAAATACCAGAGGGATATGCAATAAATCCAAACTGGTGGTTTTCAACCATTTTCAAAACAAATCTTATATAGAACCCTGATATAAAAAATAAAAGTAATGGAGATCTGGGTGGTTGCATTTTCTTTTTTATTTTTGGTGGAAATAGCTTCAGTGTTGAAGAGCCCTTAAAACAGTCCTAAGGGACCCTAAGGATTCTATAGAATAGTTTGAAAACCACCATTCTGAGGAAGGGGTCCAATTTGCCTCCTCTGCACTAAACCTACAACTCAGAGAAGGAAAGGGTGGGGTAGATGGGCCATACTGTCTCCAGGCCCATTTGGAGAAAAATGAAGGTACTTGTGGGCCTGTGGACTTACGCTAATATCTGCCAAAAGGGCGCCTGCAAGGGGGTTTTATATAATTTTTCCACTGAATGATTTAAAAACACATAAGAAAATGCAAAAGTGTAGGACAGGTGAGAGAGGTGACACCAAGGGAGCAGCCTTCTCTGTAGCAAGATATAACAGAAATATAACTGACTTACACAAGTAAAAAACAACACACACACAAACCTTCCAGAAGCTTCACACTACACCCTCCTCATCTTCTTCCTGCTCCCCACCTTTACCACAACCCTTCCAGAGAGCCAGAGGCGCCACAAGGGGCACCTGGCCTACCCACTCACATCTGCCAAAATGTTGCATGCCAGCGTGGAAGACAAACCAAACTGCACAAACCCCAGTGTGTATTTATTTGGTGTACATAGATGCCTTTAAAATAAAATAAATTAAATGATGAATCTGTTGTTGGAAATCTTCTTTATCCCTCCCCAGCCTCACTCTGTTCCTTCCAAGTAATGGCACTGGACAGTATGTCCTTCCAGATATTTTTCTTTTCTTTTCTTTTTTTGAGACAGAGTCTCACTTTTTCAACCTCGGTAGAGTGCCATGGTATTGTAGCTCACAGCAACCTCAAACTCTTGGGCTTAAGTGATCCTCTTGCTTCAGTTTTTCATTTTTAGCAGAAACAGGGTCTCACTCTGATGCAGGCTGGTCTTGAACTCCTGAGCTCAAGCAATCCATCTGTCTTGGCCTCCAGAGTGACAGGATTACAGGCATGAGCCACCACGCCCAGCCCCCAGATGTTTTTCTATACATTTACATGCAGGGTTGGTTTTGTCCCTTCTTGACAATATATCCTGGAGATCTTTTTTATGTGAATATACATGGATTGACCTCATTAAAATATATAATCTTTTTTTTTGGACACAGAGTTCCAAGTTGTTACCCTGGGCAGAGTGCTGTGGCATTACAGCTTACAGCAACCTCAAACTCTTGGGCTTAAGTGA